GGTAAAAGCTGGCGGACTAATAGTTCGGACAAGCCAGCAGTCAGACGCTGGGCAAGGGGGTGACTTTCTGACATTGTCTTCTTACGCTCAAATATGTCCTTGACAGACACATGACTGTGGGAAGATGAGCGTGAACTGCTCAAGGCGGGAGGCGGAGTGGCGGATGGTTGAGAGGGGACAAGGAGGACAACAGTGGTTGACGTGGCTGAAGATGCTGGACCAGGAGGAGGCTGGCGGCTTAGAGTAGGCGAGCTGCTTGTACTCATGTGTTGATCCCATAGGCGTCTGTGATGTGAGATCATGTGCCTACGCAAAGCAGTTGTACCTAGGTGGGTGTTGGACTTCCCACGACTCAGTTTCTTTTGGCACAGGTTGCAAATGGCATCGCTGTTGTCAGAGGCAGACACACAAAAAAAATTCCACACTGCTGGGCTCTGCAATGACGGCATTCTGGTGGTGGACACAGCATGCGTTGATTGGCGTGCTGTCGGGCTGACCCCGGGTGTCGATGCATGCTGTCTGACTGTGCCACTAGCTCCTTGCGACGACCTCCCCCTGCTTCCAACTCGTCTCCTCCTCCTCCCTGTCTCCCCATCTGAACTTTCGCCCTGTTCTTCTTCTTGGCGAGCGGGCACCCACGTGACATCCATGGACGCATCGTCATCATCAACCGCTTCACTTGTATCTGACAACTCAGCAAAGGAAGCAGCAGCGGGTACAACATCATCATCATCATCACACCGTACGTCCATGTGTGTAATGCTGCCTGCCTGGGACATATCCCTGTTATCTACATCCTCTGGCAATAATGGTTGCGCATCACTCATTTCTTCAAACGGATGTGTGAATAACTCCTCTGACATACCAACTGAAGCGGCTGTGGTGCTAGTTTTGGTGGTGGCGGCAGGCGGGTGAGTGGTATCTTGAGAGGTGCCTGAAGCTAAGCTGGAGGAGGATGGTGCGTCAAGGTTCTGAGCGGAGGCTGTAGAAGATTGGGTGTCCTGTGTTAGCCAGTCAACTATGTCCTCAGAACTTTTCAAGTTCAGGGTACGTGGCCTCTGAAAACTGGGCATTATTCTAGGGCCAAAGGGAATCACAGCACCACGACCACGATGGCCCCTGCGGGGTGGCCTGCCTCTGCCTGTCATTTTTGTTGGGATTAGTGGTACTATGCGTGCAAGCTACTGTGAGACCAGATATGAGTGGCAATGTGCTAGCACAGTTGTGCAAAACACAGGCTGTAAACCTGACACCAGCGAAGATAACCTTTGCTATTCAATCTATAACAGTGAAAAAAGAGATGTTTTTTTGTTTTTTAAAATACAAGCTTTGTGTCACCAAGATCTAGAAGTGGTGGCTTTTGGTCACCACGTATCCACACTGTTAAGCGTAACACACCGCTTTACAGGACACTGACTGCTATTCAATATATAACAGTGAAAAAAGTAGTTTGTTTTTTTTAAATACAAGCTTTGTGTCACCAGATCTAAGTGGTGGCAATGGTCACCGTATCCACTGTTAGCGTAACACACCCGCTTTAAGGACACTGACTGCTATTCAATCTATAACAGTGAAAAAAGTGTTTTTTGTTTTTAAATACAAGCTTTGTCGCACCAGATCTAAGAAAGTGGTGGCAATGGTCACCGTGTATCCACTGTTAATACACCAGCTTTAAGGACACTGACTGCTATTCAATATATAACAGTGAAAAAAGTGGTTGGTTTTTTAAATACAAGCTTTGTCACCAGATCTAAGTGGTGGCAATGGTCACTACATTCTCCCACTGTTAGCGTAACACACCAGCTTTAAAAGGTTACTGACTGCTATTCAATCTATAACGGTGAAAAAAATTGAGTTTGTTTTTTTTTAAATCCAAGCTTTGTGTCACCAGATCTAAGTGGTGGCAATGGTCACCGATATCCACTGTTAGTAACACACCAGCTTTAAGGACACTGGCTATATTCAATCTGCCAACAGTGAAAAAAGTGGTTCTGTTTTTTTTCATCCAAGCTTTGTCACCAGATCTGAAAATTAATTGGCAATGGTCACCCGACCATCCACTGTTAAGCGCTAACACACCCTTTAAGGACACTGACTGCTATTCAATATATAACAATTGAAAAAGTGGTTGTTTTTTTTTAAATACAAGCTTTGTGTCACCAGATCTAAGTGGTGGCAATGGTCACCGTATCCACTGTTAGCGTAACACACCCGCTTTAAGGACACTGACTGCTATTCAATATATAACAGTGAAAAAAGTGGTTGTTTTTTTTTAAATACAAGCTTTGTGTCACCAGATCTAAGTGGTGGCAATGGTCACCGTATCCACTGTTAGCGTAACACACCCGCTTTAAGGACACTGACTGCTATTCAATATATAACAGTGAAAAAAGATGGTTTTTTTTTTTTAAATCCAAGCTTTGTGTCACCAGATCTAAGTGGTGGCACTGGTCACCGTATCCACTGTTAGCGTAACACACCCGCTTTAAGGACACTGACTGCTATTCAATATATAACAGTGAAAAAATTGGTTGGTTTTTTTTAAATACAAGCTTTGTGTCACCAGATCTAAGTGGTGGCAATGGTCACCGTATCCACTGTTAGCGTAACACACCCGCTTTAAGGACACTGGCTGCTATTCAATATATAACAGTGAAAAAAGTGGTTGTTTTTTTTTAAATACAAGCTTTGTGTCACCAGATCTAAGTGGTGGCAATGGTCACCGTATCCACTGTTAGCGTAACACACCCGCTTTAAGGACACTGACTGCTATTCAATATATAACGGTGAAAAAAGTGGTTGTTTTTTTTTAAATACAAGCTTTGTGTCACCAGATCTAAGTGGTGGCAATGGTCACCGTATCCACTGTTAGCGTAACACACCCGCTTTAAGGACACTGACTGCTATTCAATATATAACAGTGAAAAAATTGGTTGTTTTTTTTTAAATACAAGCTTTGTGTCACCAGATCTAAGTGGTGGCACTGGTCAGCGTATCCACTGTTAGCGTAACACACCCGCTTTAAGGACACTGACTGCTATTCAATCTATAACAGTGAAAAAAGTGTTTTGTTTTTTTAAATCAAAGTTTTGTGTCACCAGATCTAATTGGTGGCACTTGTCAGCGTATCCACTGTTAGCGTAACACACCCGCTTTAAGGACACTGACTGCTATTCAATCTATAACAGTGAAAAAAGATTATTATTTTTTTAAATCCAAGCCATTGTGACACCAGATCTAATTAGTGGCACTGGTCAGCGTATCCACTGTTAGCGTAACACACCCGCTTTAAGGACACTGACTGCTATTCAATCTATAACAGTGAAAAGTGTTTTGTTTTTTTAAATCCAAGCTTTGTGTCACCAGATCTAAGTGGTGGCAATGGTCACCGTATCCACTGTTAGCGTAACACACCCGCTTTAAGGACACTGACTGTTATTCAATCTATAACAGTGAAAAGTGTTTTGTTTTTTTAAATCCAAGCTATTGTGACACCAGATCTAAGTGGTGGCACTGGTCACCGTATCCACTGTTAGCGTAACACACCCGCTTTAAGGACACTGACTGCTATTCAATCTATAACAGTGAAAAAAGTGTTTTTTTTTAAAAATCCAAGCTATTGTGACACCAGATATAAGTGGTGGCACTGGTCACCGTATCCACTGTTAGCGTAACACACCCGCTTTAAGGACACTGACTGCTATTCAATCTATAACAGTGAAAAAAGTTTTTTGTTTTTAAATCCAAGCTATTGTGACACCAGATATAAGTGGTGGCACTGGTCACCGTATCCACTGTTAGCGTAACACACCCACTTTAAGGACACTGACTGCCATTCAATCTATAACAGTGAAAAAAGTTTTTTGTTTTTAAATCCAAGCTATTGTGACACCAGATGTAATTGGTGGCACTGACTGGGGAAATGGGCACTGTGAGCCTGACACAGAAGCTGGCAGCAGTGGCAGACAACTAAGTGCATTTACATTACATAGAAAAATAAAATAAAAAAAGCATACCCTTATCCCTAACCTAGCTATGCTTTTCCCTATCTTATGAACAGCAGCTACACTTTCCCTCCTCTTACTAAGCATGCAGCTTGAGAATGAATCTAAAATGGATGCTGTCCAGTAGGTGGGAGGGTCTGCTAGGGAGGCTGTGCTGCTAATTGGCTGGAATGTGTCTGCTGACTGTGAGGTACAGGGTCAAAGTTTACTCAATGATGATGAATAGGGGGCGGGTCGAACCGCGCATATGTTCGCCCGCCGTGGCGAATGCGAACATGCTATGTTCGCCGGGAACCGTTCGCCGGCGACCCGTTCGGTACATCACTATTCACCAGGTGATGAGTCTGAATGCTTCTGTTCAACCTGCCTTTGTCGACTACTGGCACTATACTTGCCATCCCTCATGCTTAAGAGTGGTGGTAGCAGTAGTGGCAGTAGTGGTTGTGGTTGTGCTAGTAGTAGGTTGTGATAACTGGGCAGAATCAGATACAGCACTATCGAACCTGCTGCCTGCTCGAACCTGCTTGTTCTCTTTGCAGATTAGCCTTTACTTGCCACTACTCACTGACTTGGGGGCACTCAAATTAATTCCAAACTTTTTTTTATTGGTGTAAAACATTAGCCCCCACCCTTTGCCCTGTGTTTGCTAAAGATGGACGTGTATTTGCTAAAAGTGGAAGTGGCTGCTATCACAAAACTAGCCAGTACACTAGCACTTGGTTGATTAATGCTAAGGGAATTGTAGATGGCACAGATACAGGTGATGTTGATGGTAGTGGTATTCAAGTTGTATTCCTGACCCTATAGAATTAAAAAAAACATGCCTGCTAACTTGCACCTCTTAACTGTGTTAAATAGGGTGGAAACTCACCTTATTTTAATATCATAGGTGTGGTGATGATGATAACAGTGAGTTACTTGTTCTAAAACTGTCTGCATTGGATGAGGCGATTCTGTAGCAGCTACAGATGGATTTGGAGATGGTGGAGATGATGCCGGAACGAGTGCACACTAGCTGCCAGAGAAAAAACTAGGTTGCTGTCTGCCATCTCCACACTCTCCTCTTCTAATGCCTCTGGCGCATCATACTCATGGTCAAGTAGCTCCTGGGACAGAGATAAAAGTGCTACGTCTATAGTGGAATGAGAAACAGAATTCTCATCACTGGATTCATCATAGCCACCACCACAACCAACAGATACTACTTTGTACGCTGCACTAAGTCCTAACTAAAGAGTGGTTCTGATGACCTACACAAAATAAACTCTACTGCCCTCTCCCTTAATTGTTTCGTGGGGAACTACAAGAAGGTATAACTCC